ACACACACACACACACACACACACACACACACACACACACACACACAGGTGAGTGCACAAACACACACAGTTAAGGCAGAAAACAAAAATCAATGGTAAGATTCATCTTTTCACCGGCACAGGAATTGGTTCACGTTTGTGTCATTTTACCAGCAAACCGCTATCAAACAATGAGCACACATGTAAGTCAGCCTCCCACAGAATAGAAGAACTTCATCATGAATGACAAGTGCACGTCCTGGTTAGTAACAGCAGAACACAGTCACCCATTAATAACAGGATCAAAACACACACACACACACACACAGATAAGGGATGGAAAGATATTGACTTTTTTTCCCGTACGTGTAGTGCGTTGCTGCGTGACGCACTACAAATCAAGACTCCACAGCAGACAGCTGGGTTAAAAGTGACACCTGGCGTGTCTCTGATCTGTTGAGCGCTCACCCTCGTTGAGTTTAGCCATGTCCATGCTGCCGTTGTTCATCTGCAGAGCGGCCTGCAGCGCCGGGAGGAGCTGATGCAGGAGGGCCGGGTCCTGCAGCAGCGCTGGTGACGGGGACTGGACAGACTGAGGCACCTGCCCCGAAGAGGAGGAAGAGGAGGAGGACATGGCGGAGGGGGTGGAGCCTAAAGCACCGGGAGCAGAGTTCAGGCTCTGAGAAGAAGAGGAAGAGGAGGAATGGCCGGAGTTGGATGCTGTGGACTGGTCCCCTGATGTGGTCTCTGTGGAGAGGAGCAGAGCAGGAGGGCAAAGCATTACTTAACACTATATTTGTAGTAAATTACAGTAAAAAAACAACAACAATCTGTCTGTATATTAAATATTTCTCCAGACATTCTGCCATACTTACTTGTTGAGGCTTTGTCCTGCAAGGCCTCTTGTCTGTAGTCCATGTCCCTGGGGAAACTATTTGCCGCCATCTTGACTGGGTCTTTCTGTCGTTGTTCCCTGAAGCAGATTAAGCAGAAAGCAACAGTGACAATGTGCAGGTTGCAGTTAGACTCTGAATCCTAAGGTAATGATATTCTGTGGAGACCGGTGCGCTGTGTGATCTAATGTCTGACTCTGCATGACAATGAGCAACTTGAATACCGTTTCCGGTTAAATATTGAATTGTCTCTCAGTGTACGTATGTGGTAATGTGATTTTAAGAGGGCTTGCCTCTCCAACAGGTCCTTGGGCTTCTCCCACTGGGACACCTCAGTTCTACAGTTGTAGTAGTACTTCTTCCCAGAGGAGCTGATGTGTTCTGTCCAGTCATCTGCTGGGTCCTGGTGCTGAGAGAGACAAGACATGGGACATTATCAAGACCAATAGTTTATATACACTAGAAGACTTTCAAAAGACTAAAGACAACTCTATCTCTCCTCTTTGGTATGTGCGAGGCAGGCAGGAGGATGTCACTCGTCTCAGGAACGGGAGTTAATATAATATAATATGCACACCACAGTCTGGAGTGAGCGCACCTATTGGATGTTCCTGTCATTGACATTCACTATCTGCATGAGCCAAGACTAAAAACGTTTGGTAAACATATTTGATTTGATCTCAAGACGAGACAAAGACCGACTTAAGACGGCTCGAACTACCTAATACCAAACAATCGAGATCACAGGAGCTGGCCACAACTCTCAAAATTCTTAAGTGTGAGACTGGCATAAGAGATATTAGGATAAGTTGAAGAGTACGACTAAAAAAAAAAATAATAATAATTACCAAGCTGAAAGCAGACTTGACATTCTCTGCGATGGAGTAAATTGTTTTACAAGCCTTAGATGTTCATACTTCATGGAAAACATGGCAACACATTTAAAAATTGTAATGACTTGCAGATAAATGGGCTATGCTCCACTAGGGATACTTTAAAAAAAGTATTACAACATGAGACAATGCAAAAGTATGAATGAAGCATACATACGTCTATGTTCCCTTAATAAGTAAGCATACGTGCTCCTGTCTTAGGGCAGCATCCCTGACTTTCCGCCCTCAGTAATGGACAACAGCTGTTCAGTATGGATCGGTCCTGGTATGTTTAATATTCATGATCACGTATATGCCGACAATTCTAGTCATTACAACAATTCCAGGAAGACAATGTACTTTGCCTCATCTCGTTTTTCCTATTTACGATTGCACTGATTTCAAAAGAGACTTCAGCAGAAGAGGCTTGAGCCACAACAACATGATGTCATGCTATCTGGGAAGAAAATAAAGCTAGGTGTCCTTAATTAGGATACATATGGACATTAGTAGTAATTGTTGATTATAGTAGGGTTTTGGCATTACAACAAACAAAAAGGGATACGAATTTACATCAACTACTGCCACAAAAACAGGTTTTTAAATTGCAGTTTAAAATTTTACATTACAGCTCATACATGTTTATGGGTGATCAGCTACCCGGAGTATAGCATAGAGGTGGTGAGGGGGGTTCTGAGTCAATAAACTACAACAAAAGTTATTTTTGCAGCAGCTAACGGCCTGTTAACCTTAAAGTAGAGAAGAGCAAGAAGGCATAAGTATCTGTCGGCCTACGTAGCAAAAGCTAATGTTTAATAACTTAATCTGGGTCTCTTTGATCTTTCCCTGTGTGGATTTCATGATGGAAGCACCAAGGTGAACAAATGAGGAAAAACCTGCCTTTTGGCTACACGTTTGTCACAGTATACATCAACACCATCAGTTAGATGGCCTGTATCCATTAGGCTGATGAGCCAATGCCCAACTAGACAATGATGAACATCCGAGTATCTTGATTCATTGCTCAGGTCAACCAGATTCTGAGTGTGAATAATTCAACATTTCAATGAGGAAGTCTTAAATCAAATAAGACCTTTTACTCTATAAAGGGAGCCCGTTACATAAATGTGACGTTTTAATCATGCGTTGTTCTTGAGACAAAAAGAGAGAGACGGCGCTACATAATGACCCAATGCTGTGTTCCGAGGTAGCGCGACAGCGATTTCTACAGGAAATGCTGAGGGTATATCATCAGATAACACTGGACAACGTCTTACCCTGTCTGCAGGCTTGCTCTGAGTCGCATGCGAGTCGGAGCCATGGTGGGAGCTGTTGTTGTGAGAGTTCTCCTGAGGAGAGCTGCTGGTCCCTGAAACAAAGACACTTATCAGGTCACAGAAGATACACAAAGTTCTGCAGAGGGCTGAATCTTAGTAACAGCTGCAATTGCCAAATAATAAACACTCTGCTTGAGATTGTTCTAGGTTTGCATTGTTCACATTCACACGGCAGTAATAGCTATAATGTGATCTGATGGCAGCGAGATGACAATAATCTAAAGCTTCACTTTGTTCTCCATCAAAGTTTTAGTGTAAATACTTGTTTTTTTGTCAACCTCTGCACACACGTGTGCTGAAAATGAATATGGGTTAGAGTGGATATTTGACAAAAGAAGTCCACACAGTATGTCAGAGATTAACAAAATTGATTACAGCGAGCTGAGACTGAGAACCATTAGTTTGCCTGCATCCACAAAGATCTGATGTTTATTTGTATTGGTCTGAGGTTATTGCAGGACCAAGATGCTAACTATTCCTTATCACAACCCTTTAGGATAACGACTTGCAAGCATGTGTAAGATGACCGGATCCGGGCTTACCATTTTTCCCTCTAACTGCGTGAGAGGTTTTGGCCTTTCCATGCCCCGCGCCGTCTCCATGTCTGCTGACAGGACTTTCGTCTGAGCGTCGCAGCATCTTGAAAGGGGGTGTGGGGTCCGATGAGCCATCGCGCACCTTGTCATAGCGGTGAAGGCTGCTGGACTGGCTCTTTGGCTGAGATTTATGGGTCTAAATCGAAGAAAGAAAATGGCAAAAAGACTTGTTGGGATGGGTAGTTTTAGTCATCTTTTCCTTGTTTTGTTTGAGTGAATATGTGTGTGAACTGTGTCTGTAATTAACATTACACTGTGAGTATAGAGCAAAGGTTCTCTGCATTTCTTGACAGTTTTTAGGGTTGCTGCATCTACAACATAACTTCATGAATTTTCCAATATGTCACTCTAATGGGAAATACTACACCTTGATTGGCTACTTTAGTGGGAAATAATGACAGGTGACTGTTAACAATTAAATGTGTCGTACCTGATAGGATTGTGAATCCCTTCTGTCGTTGCACCTGTAAACACATAGAACAAACGGCAATTTAACGGCGACACACTGTATGGAGCATAACGTCATTTAGCTACTGATAAATAGCTGCCGTTAGCTAGGTTAGCTTGATTTGCCACCTTAGCAACAGCTGTTTGCTCATTATGTCACTAGTAGAAAATAATAAATCGTGTTTAAATCACATCGTACATACTGTGGCCTATACACTGACGGTAACCATTACCACGTTAGTTAGCTAAGGTTACGTTCACATTTAGTTAGTCGATAAGCTAAATATCCGGAACCCAGAGCTAATTACAGGAAAAGCTGTTAGCTCGTAGCACTGACAGCTAATGTTAACGGTTAACGTTACAGGAAAACATGAGTCACTAATCCACACACAAAAAAGGTAAACCACACGAATAACTTTGACAACGTTATGGTTTGTGCTTGATTTACCCATCGCTGACTCTTGTTGGTTTCCTTGCATACATCACCATCAAGGCCGTGGTGATGTGTGTGTGTGTATGTGTGAGGGGGAACCGTGGCCTCCTGTCTATCTGCTCTCTCAGTTCTCTTTTTCTTCAGCTTCCTGATATATCTGGGCTCAATCTATCCTACCAAACAGATACCTACAAGCTGTGCACCAGCACTGCATAGCGGGTGGTCTTTATCGCAAACCACCCTCAGTGCATCACCTGACATGTAGATATACGGTATACGCTTTTAGCTCGGCCGATGTTGCTCAGCGAAAAGCAGCAGAGTCAGGAGGAAGCGGTGCAGGCGAACTCCTCGGTGATGTTTAGCTAGAAAAAGGGGGTACCGGTTGCATCTTTCAAATTAAAATTATTATCGAGTCGACTACAGCTCCAACCGTATTGAGGAAAGAAAAGTACCACAATGAAGAAAGATTACATTAGGTACACTTCATTGCGTTTTAGACAACCCAATGGATAGCTGTAAACTAACAAATCCGACCAACAAAAAAGACAAATGGTATCACTAAATGAGAAGGAATGAGCACTGACACATTGCTGCGGTTGTTTGAAAAGTCCCTCGTATAGAAAAAACCCGAATATGATAATGAAATGATAATCATTACAACACGGGAAACTTCCTTGAACACAGAGCTTTGACGCAGAGACACATTTTTATGTTAAATTGACAAGTAATGTAAAGTTGGTAGCTGGACTTGCCTTTAAGAAAACAACGTTGTATGTTATGTTATATTTTTCTACTTTTTATATAATTTCATTTTAGCATGACAAAGCAGAACAAAAAAACGACACGACCTCGTTACAACAAATGTGACATTTGTGTTACCACAGTTGTAAGTCTGAGCTCTTATTTTGAAGTAAGTCGCTTCATTTCCGAAAGAGCCGTGAGAGTCGTGTCACCTCCGTTCACTAGACCTTTTTTGCTTTTTACAGCAATGGCGGATCATGGTGCCTCTGTGCCCGGAAGTTAGCGGCGTTATTATGGATCCCACTGCTCTTCTTGGCAAGACCCGCCCTGCGTAGCATTCAAGCGTTGTGATTGGCCAGTGCCACATAGTTACAGCCTTTTTATATGCAGTCTATGGTGGCAACGGAGAGAACCGACGAGTGATGCACTTTAAAAAGGCGTTTAAAAAGAGACATTTTATTATCAGCACAACTGATTTAAATTAGCCTATGAAATGCAAATTCAATTTTCTTAAGACCATTTTATTAAACGGTGTATGATTAAAAGGGAAAAGTTAGATTTGAAATATTAATATTAAATATATATTATTATATGACAAAAGTATAATAACAAAGTAAAACAATATTTAAGAAAGATTTATTTTTATGATACATCTATCTGTTGTGATACATCTATTGATATGGATTTAGAGTGCATATTTGAGACTTCGAGACACTAATCACAAAGGTAACATTTATTTTAGGCTTTGTGAATTTGTCTATATTATCTTGCAGCTCAGCTGATTTTATTAATGGATATGGGGGAGGGAAGTTGTAAGACCTATGTGAGGTTAAAAACAAGGTCAATTTACAATAGGCCAATGATTCTGAAAAAGATATCATACCAGACTAACTGGGGAATGTTACTCAGTACAAAAACTATACTGTATATAAATACTTATATTTTATACATATATTCATACTTTGTCTACAAAGCTCTCCCTGGCTGCCTGTCTCAGTTTAGCAGAATAAAGTGTTCAGAGAATAACATCTCAGCATGTCTATCGTCATTCTAGCTGGTAACCAGTCATCGCTCTCCAGGATTAATCTGGATTAATTGGCATCAACACCTTCCATTCATGCCCTCAGCACCACATGTTCCCTGGCCTCTCACATCTCTACCTGCAACCCTGACTCCTCCAAAAAGAAGTACCCATGAAACTAAACTGCACTCTTAATTAAAAATTTAAAATGCTTTAGTTTTAGACCTTTGACATTTGATGGTTGCGACCATCCCACTCGTGCCACGATTTGCTGGGAAGCAGCTTTCTTGCTGAGAGTTAGTAGAGAAGAGCGACACCAACCTCATATCTGTTAGCTTAGTTTATGGGAGCAGGAGGAAACTGCCTGAATCTGTCAGAGGCAGCTGTCGGTAGACTCCATGAGGTCACTGTGCCCAGCCAGGGAATAGTCCAGCACTCAAACTCAAACGTTTTGTTTTTTATACGGATTAAACCAGAACACCCTGGTAATTTATCACAACAGAGAAGTCCAAGTGTGAAATTAAAATGAAATGACAACCAAATAAAAGGTTACTGAAAGGATGTAACTGCTGGCCTCAGATTCATCTGTGTGACATATGTGCAAAGTGAACATGGTGAACATTACGCCCCATGCTCTTTGATTGTTGTATTGATTGCCCGTCGGCTTGATTTAGGTCAGACCTAGCACATATTCACTGAACGAGGGACGGTTTCTTTTACAATCTGACCAGCAGAACACAACCTCTCTCTACAAGTGGAGGTGTAAATGTTGCTCATGAGGCACTAAGCGATATGGCCTGCCTGAATTTATGGAATGCAATGTCTCTGGTGAGTGCAACTTCAATTTTGATTGATTGTGCTGAGCTGCTTTTCCTACTTAAAATGTGTTGGAATGGACATAAACATATGTGTTACACTCCTAATCTGTACCCCAGATTAGGTGTATTAGATCAAATAATTATTTTCTCACAATATTTTCACTTATCTGCTATTTAGACATTAGAATATAAAACAAACAGATATTTCTGTGGATATAGTATTGTATTTCTGTAGATGTGCTAATTGAGGGATTCTGCACAATATTTCTTTACATGTTCTATTATATAACAAGTGCATTTCTGTTGAACCAATCCTCGTGTTTTTCCACGGAATTCTGCATATTTGCATATATTTTCTTAAATGTATCAAACTATGGTCTGAGAAAGGGTAAAAATCTATTCATTTTATGCAGAGGACATCCAATATTTATCTATAGTTATGTTTTCATCTTCTGCTTAATGTAATTTTAGGTAATTAATACTGGCCAGTCATTCATGCAGACGTGTTAAGTGAAGACAAAGAACCCTGAATATTATTGATACAACATTAATTGATTGAATAGTTTACCAATTTAGCTGTATGGAAAGAGGAACATTGTTTTAACGTAATGTTTAAATACCTCATACCAGCATTAGGGGGCGGTAATATCTCAGAAGAAGCATCTTCCCTTCTTTCCTTTCTCTCATCATTTCTCCACCTTCTTTGTCATGCTCTAGTCTCCCTATCTGCCAGTAAAAACAAGAAATCTGGATTAAGTTACTATATATATATATCAAGGATTTCGATATTGGTTGAATTCTTCTTCTCTGTTCTCAGAGTGAGGAAGATGCTAAGCCGAACTGAACACAGAGGTACATCCAAAGTGTAGCAGGTTAACAGGTTGTATGTACACGAGAGGCAATGTGTATGCAATTTGAGCACATTAGGTTTCTTTTCTTTTCACCTCCCTTATAGATAACATATCTGTAATACTGGAAAATAAAGCAATGATCCCCATAACAGTACCCATTTAGGGCTTCCCTTGGAGTCTTTCTTTTTTGTTATCACACCCTCTGTTTAACCTTTGATTTCTATCTCTGGGTTCTTGACCTCACCTCATAACCTTAAAAACAAGCTCTCTGAGTTAGAACCAGGTGCAGGTGGGGTATGTATGTGTGTGTGTGTGTGTGTGTGTGTGTGTGTGTGTGTGTGTGTGTGTTTATACATGTGGTTGTGCTCTGCTCCTCCTCCTGCAGGTGTGTGCAGGCTGCTATCTTCAGTGATGTCTGGAACAGAGTCTCATACAGACAGAGAAGAGGACTACAGGTTCCTCCACAGCATGTTGATGGAGAAGAAGCTTCATCTGCTCTTTAAGGTGAAGACACGTTTGTGCTACAAGGATTCATGCTTTATTACATCCACTCATTTCAGTGACAGCATCTATTTTCAAACTTGTTTTAGGAGCAAAATACAGATCTTAATTTTTAGGATACCAGTGTAAAAATACTGCATTGCAACTAAATGTAATCAAAGCTTTACTGAAGCAAAATTCATTAGTATTATCAGCGAAATAATCCAAAGTAACAGCAAAACACCATACGTGTTATAGTACAGGACGAATGGCTGCTGTCACTGTTAATTTATTATATATTTTAGATATTATTACTAATGCATTAATATGCAAGTGGCACTTCAATATTGCAGCTTTTCTGGATGCAGCTAATTTGAACAACTGGACTGTGTTGTATTTACTGTTACTGTCAAATATTAATCTCTATAGTAAGTCATATACAATTCCTCAACATTTTGTACAATATTTTAATAAATGTACTTAGTTGAGTTAGTATTTTCTTCTTTTTTGTTTTTAAAGAAACATGTCACGTAAATGCACTTTCACATTAATTGAACTACAATACATCCTTGCATTTATTTTGTGGTTGTGTTGTAGCCATGGTACCATTGCAGTTATTTCAATAAACAATATTTTATCATTATGAATATTATTAGCAGTATAAGTATTAGGTGTATTTGGAGTTTTACTGCAGAGAAAACCTTTATTGTGATACTTTCCTGACTTGACAGATCCATGAACGGCTGAGGCGTTTTGAGAAGCGTAGCCCCGTCCCCGTCCAAGAGCACGCAGCGAGTCTGGCCTCAGATGTAAGTGACTCTCTCCAAACATCTTTTGCAGATGGACGCGCCGCCAAGGATGACAGTTTGATAGCAGAGGGAACGAGGAGGATTATTTCGTCTTTCAAATTGTTTCCTTCTCATACAGACGCCTTTGCCTGTCACACAGAAGCATGAATGGAACGCACAGTCCTACTTATGTGTCGTGAACTATGAAACCTCATATCAAAACTCTGTGACCGCTGATATTATCACTTGAAAGGCTGCGTTTTATAGCAGATATCGTTTTGCATTTACATGCCAGGACTTAGGTCAACAAGGACAGTGCCGAGCAAAAAGCTGCTCAAATCATTTTGTGTGGAGTCTAAAACTGCAACGTACCAGTATATTCCCTTCAGTTGTGCTTCATATTTCATGTACCAGTCCTCTTCAATCCTGTTACCAACCAATCACTCCTGTATCTCCATCTCATCCCAATACCTTCCCCGAACCATTTTGGTCACGTTCCACTTTCATTCCCTGATGTCCCCATCTTGTTCCTGGACAACGTGTTGAACAAGGATGTTCTTTTTTAGACTTTTCACCTTACTCTACGCTTCCATCTGTTCTTGTCTCCATCCCCAAACCACACTCCCCTTCCATTATCTCTATTCTTCCTTATCCTGTCACCTCTCTCTCTC